CACCTCAATCCTCCTCGTCTCCCCCACCACGGCTCCCTTACAAACCCTACACTTGGACGTCAAGTGCCCCTCCACGGTCCTTGGCCCACGTCAGGAGCGCTCCTTCCTGATAGTGGTGGACGACTACTCCCGCTACACTACGGTCGTTTCCTTACGACGGAAGGCTGATGTGCCTACCATCCTCGAGCCGTGGCTATTAGCGGGGGGTGGAGCCCTAGTACTTCGTGAGCTCCGTCTACACTCGAACTATCGCATTTACAATTTGGTCACCCACCAATTCTTCAATTCTCAAGAGGTGACGTTTGACGTCGGTCTGTTACTACACGAGCCGCCCCCACCAAGGTTCTGAGTCATTTCCCCCCCTGCTATTTCTCACCCATGAGCCACCCCAAAACGCCCCGGTAGCCTCCCCCCCCCACTCCCCCCCTTCCTTCCTCCCCCCCCCCACTCCCCCCCTTCCTTCCCCCCCCCTCCCCTCCCCCCTTCCCCCCCCCCTTGCTTCCTGCACTATCAAGGGTGTCGCACGTCACTCAGCAGTCATTTCCCCCACAACATCTACTCCCTAACGTGTCTAGGGGTGTGGGAGGTGCAGCTGTCGAGGGTACAGGTCCTGGGGCTGCTGGAGCTGTTTGCGCCAGCTCTTGGGGTGCAATGGATGTGGGTGTGGAGGCCCCTTTGTAGAGAATACGGCCGCCTTGAGTCAACGGCCTAGCCCCCCCTCACCCCCTGGCCTCCAGTCAGTTTTGCAGTTACCTCCTTGTTCGTCTTTGCAGCCGGTTGCTGCGGAGTCTGGGGGTGCTCCTGCAGGAGGTACTGGAGGCACTGTTGTTTCTGGAAACACTGGCTCTAGGGGTGGTGGAGCTGGTGGTGCTGGCATATCGGCGCCTACATCGCAAACTGTACATTTCTTGGCCCACTAACAATGTCTTATACGATTGGAGATGGAGGAGAAAAGTTGGTTTGCGAAAGTAGAGGAGGAGTCTCGACCGTAGCATCAAGTGTAGTTGCACCCGCTGCAGGAGAGAGTAGCAAAGGAGACACACCCGCAACAGCAGGTTCAGTTGCAAGGACTGCAGAAGAGGGTAGAGGAGGAGTCACGGCCGCAGCAGCAGGGTGCAGTTGCAGCCGCAGTAGGAGAGGGCAGAGGAGGAGCCATAGCCGGAGCAGCAAGAGTAGCACCAGGGGCTGGTGCCGCCACAGAAGACGCTAGAGGAGGCGGAGCAGCAGCATTTAAGAGGTCCGCCCGACCTAGCACCTGGACGCTTGGTCTGTGGTCCTTTATCATCTCCTCCTGTTCTCGTGGTCCTATCTTGCTCCTCTCAGTTGCGCTGTGTCCCCATAGCCTAGTCGATCTCGTTACTATGCCGATGACCCGTTTCACCTTGTTCTCCACTCTTCTGTTCCACCTCCTCTGGTCCTTCCGCATTTTCTTGACTCATCCCTTACTATGTCCCCCGCCCCATTCTCCGACTACCTCCGTGCCTCCCGTCCTATCGTCTCTCGTACTTTGTCCTCGTTGGTCACTCACCTGACTGCCCCCCTCCCTCTCTCCCCGTTGTCTGTCTTGGCTCTTGTTACTGTTGTTGTTTACTTTGCCTCTTCCCATCGCCTTAACTACACTGCTCACCTTGTGAGCGGCCCTGCTCATTCTTCGTTCTTTGTGGGTGCTCCTATTATTCCCTTAGAGGTCCTCGAGGAAATGCAGTCCAAGCTCGGTTTCCTTGCGGCCGTTGTTCCTCATCTCCGCACCATGCTGCTTGCCTCTGAGGGGGATATGGACGTCCTTGACGTACCAATCCCTTGCACTCATGCCGAGGCAGTCTATGACCTTGGGCCTTGTACTGGATAGGAGCTAAGGAGGCAGAGATAGAATTTTATAGGTCCACAAACACTTACATCGACGCCGTCCCACCACGTGGGGCAAACACTGTCAATGGTATGTGGCTCTACAAGGTGAAGCGACCGCCTGGAGCAACACCGGTGTTCATGGCATGCTACGTGGAAAAAGTTTTCAGTTAGCTAGATGTCTTCTATCCCGCCTTCTTCTTTCGGATTACGTTGATGACCTCGCCTTCGCCATTCCCGACCGCAGTGCAGTAGCCTTAGTGAAGGAGGAACTGTAGAGGAGAAACACTTGCATTGACCTTCGTGAGCTACAGCGCTACCTTGTCTGCAAATCACCAGGGGCAGAGCAGCTCACCATTACGCTGTCGCAGTCGCATATGGTCGAGCAGGTCCTCACGCGGTTTCGCTTCCCGTTCTCCAAGGTACAGCTTACCTCTCTTCTTGTGGATCATGGGCTCACGGCTCTACCTTCGAACGAGTGATTTGAGCAAAATGGTCCATATTCTGAGTTGGTGGGTTGCCTCATGAACCTGATCACCTTTCCTCGTCCACACCTAGTTTTCCCCCTCGGTGTCTTGGCGTGCTTTGTCGTGCCTGGGACACACTGAATTTTGCACTCGTTGGCTGCTAGGCGGGTGGATAAGTATTTGGCGAGCACATTAGGCATGGGACTTGTCCTTGAAGTGAAGTAGCCAATTACACTCACAGGTTACTTGGACTCGTCGTTTGCGGACCGTGTACAGACGCTGAGGTGTATGCGGGGTTACTTTTTTTTTTTTTTTTTGTGGAGGTGAAATTGGTCGATGTTCGTTGCTAGCTCTAGATGTGAGGCAGAGGCTTATGCCTAGGAGCTTCGCTAGCTAACTTTCCTCCTCACCGACCTTGGTGAGCAGCATCACTCTCCCCCATTCGTGTTCGCTGACAATAGGTCTTCTGTCCTGTTGTATGAGGAGCCATGACTGGTTGGAAAGCAAAGCCTGATCCAGCTTCGTTACTTCCTTCTACGTGAGTTGCAGCAGTGTGGCAAGGCCCACGTGGTTCATGTGGTCTCAAAGGCCAACACTGCAGATATCTTCACCAAGGCGCTACTGCCTCCTGATCATCAGCATTTCTAACGCCTAGCTGGGTCTTGTACATGTAGGTTCACATTTATTTGTGTAGAGATCCTCGTCTTGCTTGTCTTGTACTCTTGCATCTTTTCACATTTGCTATATACCTTCATGTGGACTAACCTTGTGGCCTCCTTCTTTTGCTTAGAATGTGTGGTGACTTTGAGACCCACCCCGTATTGCATCTCTTGTTGCTTTTTTGTTATTGTGGACTATCTTGTGACCATTGCTTGTTCTTGCTAACTGGTCCTATGCCCCTTGCTCTCAGACTGTGTGGTGATTTCGTAATCTACCATGGGATCGTGTTGTTTTCCATAAGACTGTTGTCACCCTGACTGTGGGGGAGTATCAAACTCTAATTGTTATGGTTTCGTATGCGTTCGTGTAGGTGCTACATGTTTCTACTAGCACCGTTAGATATATATATATATACATATATATATATTTTTTATGCTATGAGGATCTTAGGATCGAGCTCAGAAAAGATGATTTGAATTGAATGATCACCTGGGTACAACACGAGGCTATATATAGGCTCGACACAAGGCAAATAACCCAGGTGTTACGCGAATGTTCTGAGGGTCGCGAAGCGTCCCGAACAGAACCTTCCAAACTCAGTAGAAAGCAATTCGGTGGAAACCGAATAAGCTTGAGTTCGGTACACGTAACCTGGTTCGGTGCCTATAACTATAATAACTATAGTAAAGCAACGAACCTAGGAAATCAAACAATCCATGCATGCGTAAAATAAATCTAAGCTAGCAATAGCATAAGAAAGGAAAAGCAAGCATGCATGGCTGGCATAAGCCGTCGTACTCTCACACGTCCCCCCCTCAAAGCTGGGTGGCGTAAGATACACCCTGCTTGACAAGATAGTCCTTGAGAGCACGGCGTGCGTTGCCCATATCAGCTTCTGCAACCCAACTGTCCTCAGTGGGGTCATATCCCTTCCAGCGTATCAGGAACTCGAGGGTCTTGCCGCCGCGGCGCCGATGAGTGAGAACGCGCTCGATCTCGTACTCTGGTTCATCCTGCACGAGTACAGGTGCTGCCGTCCCTGAAACTGCTGGTTGGGGTCCTTATAGGGCTTCTGTAGCTGAACATGGAAAGCGTTGTGAAGCTTCCACGTATCTGGTAAGCGCAAGCGGAATGTAACTAGTGTCACCTGTGCCTCCACGGGAAAAGGACCACAGAAGCGAGGCTGGAGTTTGGATGGTAGGTGAGACAGGTTCAAGTTGCGTGTGTCAAGAAGCACCTGATCTCCGACTGCTACTGAGTGATCTCGTCATTGGCGATCGGCATACTGCTTATGGGAGTTCTGCATCGTGGTGAGACGCCGCTGAGTCTTCTCCCACAGCTGCTGCATGGTGGTGACGAAGTCGTGTGCGGCTTGGACGTGTGCCGGTGTGGTTGGCTATTGTGGAGTGAGCGGTTCCCATCCGTAACACAGGAAGAAAGGAGTTTTCCCTGTGGCCGCATGCGAGGCGTTGTTGTAAGCGAACTCTAAGGTCGGTAACTGTGTGTCCCAGTGGCTGACGTCCTCTTTGCAAGCTATGCGCAGTAACTGTTCAACCACCTGATTGAGTCGCTCTGTCTGTCCGTCAGGTTGGAGATGGTATGCTAAAGACATCGCAAGCTTAGTCCCCAACAATCCCATAAGCTCCTTCCAGAACTTACTCGTGAATTTGGGATCTCGGTCTAAGATGAGTGCAGTGGGTATGCCGTGGATGGTGATGATGTGGTCGAAGAAGAGGCGAGCAGTTGCTTCAGCTATAGCCGTGGTGCTCGTTGGTATGAAGTGACCCATTTTGGAGAACTTATCGATTACTACGAGGATGGAATCGTGCACTCGTGAGGTCGAAGTAAGTCCCGTGATGAAGTCGAGGCTAACGACCTGCCATGGCTGCTCCGGTACGGGTAGAGGCTGAAGTAACCCTGCCTTTTTCTGCTTGCTACTCTTCATCCGCTGGCACGTGTCGCAGGAGGTGACGAACTGCTGCACGTCTGCTGCCATCCGGGGCCAGTAGTAATACTTTGCTATTCCCGCTAACGTCTTGTTACTCCCGAAATGTCCCGCATATGTACGTCGTGAAACTCTTTCAATAGGATCTGCCGTAGCGGGGCGTAATTCGGTACCCAAATCTTTCCTGAACCCTTCCTTACCGCTAAGTCTTTCTCCCACTGTAACAGCTTCTGTTTCTCTGCCGTTGCGATCTCGCCGTCCACGGAGTACCCATGTTGGAATAGACCCTTGAGTAGAGGGTTCATCCCGTCGAGCTGGATGCCTGCTACGTGACCGGGGCGGCTCAACACGTCAGCTTTGTTGTGTAGCCCGGGTTTGTAGATGATGTCGTAGTGGAAGTGGGTCTCCAAGAAATCCACCCACCGCACCTGTCGTCGTGAGAGCGTCGGCTGCGACTTCAGGTATTTAAGGCTGCAGTGGTCAGTGTAAACTATGGTCTTGGCTCCTTCTAGGTAACACCTCCACGCCTTGAAGGCTATGACTATGGCTAAGGCTTCCTTGTCGTGTATGGGGTAGTTCAGTTCTGCTCCGTGTAACTTCTTACTGAGGTAGGCGATAGGCTGTAAACCGCGTCCGTGATCCTGCATCAGTACTGCTCTGACTGCCTGGTCACTAGCGTCTGCTTCAACTACGTAGTCCTTGTCTGGGTCCGGTAGGATGAGTACTGGCGCTGTGGTCAGTGCTGTCTGTAGCTGTTCCATGGCTTGCTGATGAGGAGTATCCCATTTGAAGGGCGTATCCTTTTTCAGTAGGTCGGTCAGTGGCTCTGCTAACTTAGCATACTGCGGCACAAACCTGTTGTAGTAGTTGGCGAAGCCGAGGAACTGCTGCAATCCCTTCACGTTCCCCGGAGCTTTCCACTTCATAACGGCTTCGATCTTCCGCAGGTCTACGTGTACGCCCTCAGCACTCACCATGTGCCCGAGAAATTGCACCTTCTTCAGTGCGAAGTCGCTCTTTGACAGCTTCACGTAGAACTTATTTTTCCGCAGGATCTTGAACATCTTCCACAGATGCTCCACGTGCTCCTTCATGTTCTTGGAGTAGATGAGAATGTCGTCCAGGTACACTACTACGCACTCGTCCAGTAGGGGTCGTACGATGTGGTTCATCTCCGCCTGGAACGTCGCTGGTGCATTGCAGAGTCCGAACGGCATCACCAAGTATTCGTAGGAGCCGTATCGCGTACGGAACGCCGTCTTGTGGATCGAGTTGTCCGCCATCTTGATCTGCCAGTAACCCGACCGTAGGTTTAGCTCCGAGAAGACTGTTGCACCACGCAGTTGGTCCAGTAGGTCGTCTATGCGCGGTATGGGGTATTTGTTTTTAACTGTCTGTATATTCAGTGCGCGGTAGTCGATGCACATCCGTAGACTGCCGTCTGGTTTTGGGGTGAAGAGAACTGGTGCACCGTAGGGAGAGGTGGATGGGCGGATCAGTTGTCTGTCCAGTAAATACTCGATCTGTTTTTTCATGTCTGTCAGTTCGGTCGGACTCAGTCGGTATGGTGCACGTGACACTGGTTTCGTACCTGGTTCCTCCACGATCTCGTGCTCGTGGGTGCGTGCTGGAGGTACGCCTGCGGGTAGGTCGTCGGGCATTATATCTTTGTACTGCTCCAAGACCTCCTTCACTGCTGCAGGTAGCTCGGAACTCCGCTTCCCCTCCTCTGCTACTGCCATGACCAGTGCTAAGTAACCCGTGTTACTCTCGTTCACCATCTGTTCGAACAGTGCCAGTGTCGTTTCAGGAATGTCCCCTGTATCCGTCCAGCTTCGTAGTGCTATCCGCTTCCCGTTGTTGTAGATACACACTGCTGTTGACCCAATCGATCTCAGGGTTGAACCGCTTCAGGAAATCTCGCCCCAAGATAAAATCTAACCCTTTGATGTTGGTGACTGGTAGCTTCGGCTTCCATCTCAACGCACCTATGTGCAGCTACAGCGATGTTTGGCCGTGGATGGGAAGCTTCGTACCGTCCACCATGGTTGCTGCGAATTGGGTCTCCTCCGCCTTCTCTCCAATTTTCTCCAATGTTCCGCGGTCACACACCGAGTGAGATGCACCGCTGCCCACCGGTGCCTGGAGGCATGGCCCATTGCAAAACACCTCGAGGAGTAGTGGTTTGTGCTGCGCTGAGTAGCCAAAGAGGGTCTCATTAATAGGATCATAGTTTACATCATAGTGAATACGTTCCCTATTTCCTATACCTGACTCAGCACTTTTCTCTTCCAACTTCACCTGGGGGGTAGGAGGATTTTTCCGAGGCTTGTATAATTTCTCTTGAGCCTGGATGTCTCATCTAAGTCTTTACAGCTGTGTAGGCTTCACCTGTGGGCAACGGGGAGCCTTAACACTATGCTGCGGGGAGAGAATATTAACTCCACGGAACGCACGACCCTTTTCTACGCTCCGTAGTACTTTGCCCAACTTCTCAGGTACCTGAATAATTTCTAAAGGCTTTCGTTTGGCCTCTTACTCTCCCCTGAATATTTCAAGGCTTGAAAACGATGAGAAGCAATATTTTTCGTTAGAGTATCTTTATAGGATACTTTTAACAAATTCTTACTTTCGTGGGTGTTCGGCTGGAGTTTTCCGATTGGTGCAGAGTCCTTTTTTGCGGAGCCTCCATTCGACTCGGCGATTTCCCCTGATGCCAGCCAGTCGTGACGTTTTAGATTCGCGCCATCATTTCATTTTCTCCTTTTTCACCCGCTCCGAAATCGCCACATCGTCGCCTTTTCTCCTTTTCGGATATTTATGCGATCGCCATGTCGATCCGCGGCTACCGGCGATTGCCGTTTTTTTTACTTTGGGAGTGCTCCACTCTTACCGTCCCGGAGTGCCGCACGTGCCTTCTTCATTTTGTAGCACGATAGAAACTGATGCCCTGCTGCGCCACAAAACTCGCATTTTGTCGGCTGCTGCTTCGCGTCGTATTTGTCGATATCCATCGGTTCGGCGAACGTGGGGGGTGCCGATTGCTCCGTGCCGAATGTACGGTTCATTGCAAAACGTCGTGTTTCGGGTTGACCTCAAGTCAAAGCATCGTATCGCTCGGCAGCACACATGATGTCGCGGTAACTATTGGAATTCGCTGCGATCACCTGTCGGCGAGTCTCCAATTTTAACCCTTTTGCGTACGCCTGGATTTTTTTGCCTTCGGTCAGGTCGGTGATGCGGTTGAACAGTAGCTCCATCTGCTGCGTGTACTGTGCTACACTACTGTATTGCTTGTGTCGGTGTATCTGCTGCCGCGCCATGTAGGTCGTATTAATGGGTTCGAAACTTTCGATTACGTCTACCCGAAACTGCGCCCACGATTTCTCCCCGCGGGCCACGTCAGTGTAGTAAATCCACTCCAGTGCTGGTCCATTAGCAGTGTCGCTGCGAGCCGAATTCTTGCTGCGTCGTGTGTCGGGGTCGAACAGCCAATGGCCTCGAAGTAAATTTCGAGGGTTGCCACGAATCGCCGGACGTCGGATCCTTTCGCACCGGGATCGAACGCTTCAGGGAGCCTCGGTCGTGCTGCTTCGAGGTTCGGCGACAGCGGTCCGTGAAATGTCGGTGTCGCCACTGCTGCTGGTGTTGTCGCTGCTACGTTCGCTGCTGCGTTCGCTGCTGCTGCGGTGGCGATTCCTGGTTGGTGTGTCAGAAGGGCCTCGAGTCGTTGAATTGCCGCCTGCATCTGCTCCATGTCGGTGCGGAGGCTCGCGATGTCGCTCGTGGTCGCATAGTTGTCGCCTCGACCCTCCATGCCTGATATTGCGCACCCGTAAAAACGAAACGACGGGGAGCGAAAAACACGGAACAGGTTTTACGTACCCGAAATCGATGTTTAACTGCGTCGCTGCCTCGGTTTTTGAAGACTCGGTTTTTTAGCGGTCGAAAAACTTTCGCGTGTAAACGGGCTCTGATTACCAAGTGTGAGGATCTTAGGATCGAGCTCAGAAAAGATGATTTGAATTGAATGATCACCTGGGTACAACACGAGGCTATATATAGGCTCGACACAAGGCAGGTAACCTAGGTGTTACGCGAATGTTCTGAGGGTCGCGAAGCGTCCCGAACAGAACCTTCCCGAACTCGGTAGAAAGCAATTCGGTGGAAACCGAATAAGCTTGAGTTCGGTACACGTAACCTGGTTCGGTGTCTATTACTATAATAACTATACTAAAGCAACAAACCTAGGAAATCAAGCAATTCATGCGTGCGTAAAATAAATCTAAGCTACCAATAGCGTAAGAAAGGAAAAGCAAGCATGCATGGTTGGAATAAGTCATCATACTCTCACACATGCTGAGAAGTACACTAAAAGAATAGCATACTGGAGCATCAGGCAGTCGTAACTGTATCTGGAGGGAAGCGCCACAGTAACTTGTACCGCAGATTCCCTATATCGAGCCTATGGCGGGCGACGAGTCATCTTTGGGTTGTTCCAGATGGAGCTAAAACCGCCCTTCCACGTCAGCGGTGCCCCCTTATAAAAAAATCCGCCTCATCACTATCGCCTCATCTGCTGCCAAGTGCCTCCAGTCATCGTCACCGACCGCCACGTCATGTTTCTTAGCCGCCACTTGCTTTGCTAGGCAGTACACTCTGGAGTGTGCGACGAATTTAACCACTGCCATGGTATCACTTTCTTCGGCTGGAACTTGATGTCCTGGCGACTTGCATCACACCTTGCCAACCACACCTGGTGTAGCGTGGTGGCAATGAAAGAGCTTTCCGGAAAAACGGACTTCGTGCTTCTCTGCATGAAGAGGAGGTCCTCCAGTCCTTGCCAGTTCAGTTGCGGGTTCATTGCAGCTAGTCAATCTCGTAAAAACCGCACCACCTTTTGAATCGCCAGGCAGCCAAGCAGGCAGTGCTCCGGTGTCTCCTCTGCTTTGCAGTATGGACATACCACCTTGTCCTTCAGAAAGAAAAGCCGCTCCCCCACTTGCAGATTCCTGCAGTGTAGCCTCAGCAATATTTCTCGCGCCCGGGCAAGGGTTGCAAGGGAATCTCTTTGCTTGATGGTTCAGTCCCACTCAATAACCCTTCCGTCCCCAATCCACCTCCGCTGCTCCTTTACGGTGCCTGCCGAGCTAACCAGTGCCCTCCTGATCTCCTTCAGCGGTGCTACCTCCCTGTCCTTGCTTAGCTTGGATTGAAGGAGCTTTGTCCGTGCCTCCCCCATTAACCCCAGCACCCTGTTTCCCTGAGCCGCTACTGGTTCCCAGCTATGCAGCCCAAAGTTGACCGGGGATTTCCTGCCGCTGACTGTGAAGGTTCCGTTGGCTCCTTCCCGTCACAGAACTCCCATAACACTGCCGCCACTAGCGCCGCTGACCCTCCATAGCGTAGGTTTCTCCGAGGTGTTTCTTTGATATTGCAGCAGAGGAACCTTGGCCGCTATCTCCCCGCTCGTCAGCGTCTCCAGCAGCATATCTCTCCATCCAGCTGGTGCTGCCGCAAAGGCCTTCAGTGCCAACTTCGCCGCGTCCATACTGCCGAGCTCACTCGCCAAGCTTTCCTCGTCTTTCACTTCCCGCGTGCCGTCAGCCCGACGCCAAATCAAGTCGCCCATTGCCGACCTCAGTAGCCGTCCCGTGCCCTTCTGATTTTCGAAAGGGCTAGCGCCCCGGAAAGGTATGCGTCGGTTGAAAGTTAGTTGCTCCCGCTCAACTTCCCAGCGATTGCTCGGTTCCGGGGGGACACAGAAGGGGGATTTCCAAAGCGCCTGCGTCATGTCTTTCCACCTTTTGCTGCCCTCCTTCCAATGTTTGAGCAGGGAATGATGGGCGTAGATCGTGTCCGGGCCCAGAGGCATCGCGGCCGCCTGCTCCGTGAGCCACCTCTTGACTGGGTTGTTCTGCAGCATCATGCGACCGACATTCTGCACTGCTATGCTGTCGAACCGCTTGTTGGGGCTGATCATCCCGAGCCCCCCTTCCTCCCTGGGTGTGCAGATTAGCTCGTAGTTCCAGAGAATAAAAGCTTTCTCCTCCGCTGCCTCCCCCCCAGACACGAAATTGTGGCAGATCCTTTTGATTTTGGTCCATATCTCCTTCGGCGGTGGGTAAATGTATGCTTGAAACATGAAGATGGGCGAGATGTAGCCGTTGATTATCGTGACTCTTGCTGACGTCGTTAGATGCTGAATCTCCCATTTGGCTAGCTCCTTGCGTGCCCTGTCTAACGCCTTTCCCCAGGACGGGAATGGGTCGTCGTTTGGAGTGATCCAGACCCCCAACAACCTCTCTGGAGCATCCTTTTCGGCCCACTTGTATTGCAGGTTCACCGGTGGAGATTTCCCTCTGCTCCTCTCGAGAGGAAAGACAACCGTCTTGTCCTTGTTCACCTTCAACCCCGACTCCTTCCCGAACTTTTCTAGTGCTTCAGCTGCGGCAAACAGCTGGTCTTCCTCCTTCAGCAGGAGTGACATGTCGTCAGCATACCCAAGATACACCAGCTTCCTCGTGCCCCCATC